GCTCGTGGAAATTGATTGGCTAAGGCGTTTCAGCAAACATCTGCAAGCCAATGTTTCATAAATTGTGAAATTTTCTGGAATGGCTCGTGCGTGCTGGAGAGAAATCCCATCCTCCCCTGATAATCCCAACCCACAGGACCTCAGCAGATCGCACTTTTACCCAAATAGTAGGGTCCCTTTAAGGGGTTATAGGGGGATACATAGGGATATCTGGGGACTTTTTTCAGAGTCCAAGGACCAAAATAATGGGGTTTTAGGGCCCAAATTCTATAGTATCATAGTTTTTGGACCCTAGAACCCTATTGTTTGGGTCCTTGGACCCTTCGGGCTAACCTTCAACCCTACCCCAAACCTACTGTAATGCTCAGACTTCCATTCCAGCCTAGCCTCACCCCTAAACCGTAAAATACGTAAACCCTCAAGCCCAGAAGGCCTTCAGATTGTCCGGCAGCTCCGCACGCCCCGCGTAACCAGGATTCATGGTGATGAAGCCTCGGATTATGGTTACTTGAAGGTTGACCGGTCAGTAGGGCCCTTTTTTGGGGAACATACAGAGTCTATAAGGACTACCGAGGAGCTGCGGGGCTCATACAAGGTGGTTTTCTCTTAGACTTGGGGCACGGATGAAAGACTTGAATCCCCCCCATGACATGTAGTTACCCTTCTAGGGACACCTAAAAGGACCTATCGCCTTGAGCAACTTCCAGGTCAAAATCATGCGGTTGAAAAGGGCCCGGGCGTCTCTTCGTGAAGAACTGTGGTGATGAAGCCTCACCGCCGCCGCCGCCTCCACCACCGCCACCCCTGCTGCTGCTGCTCCTGCTGCTAATGCTACTTCTTCTTCGAATGCTGCTCTGCAACGACTACTCCAAGATCCCGGCAGTTGCAGGTCCAAATGATTGGCAGCTCCGTCCCCTCGAACTCGAAGTGTGTCTTCTTCTCCTCCATGTCTGCATTATAGCGAGCCTACATGACAACAGAATTCCATCAGGCTTCTACCATGCTAGAGTTGATAGCTGTCTAGCGCAGGCGATGGCATGACTTGCAGGCAGGTAGTGCCGACACAATGGCATTTGGGCACGTGTTGAAACTGCAGAAAACAGGCATACACGGATCTGTAGCGTAATCTTATACAAATCATTCCACGATCGCCGTACGATCAGGAAGTTTACCGGGATGATAGAGCGCAAGCCAAAGAGAGCAAATCGATGCTGCAACCCACACAACCCCACAAGTACAAATTCCTTGGACGAGGTATCATGTCCTCATCACCATGCAATGCCTACCTACGTTCATACTTGTCTATGCATCTCGATGCCAGCCCCAGACGACTCGCTTGGACTTATTTCGCAATGTGATGCAAGGCATTGCCAGCCACAACAGCACCAGGTAGCAACCTCCTTCGCACCCCAAATGCAGAAGAACACTGTCAATTCTGTAGCTGATCACAGGCAAAGCCCTCTGCCCCAAACTCTGCACACCATGGCTCCCGAATGGCATTCTGAATGCATAGGATCTGCTGCGCAATGACGCTGAGCACCTGCTTGTAGCCAAGGGCTCATGGGGTTTGCAGCTGCGGGGATCGGGTGAAGGCTATGTGCCTGTAGTAAATAGTATTGCTGCTATAATGTTTGGACACCTCTCTGGCCAACATTTGCCACAGTGTTGTGGAGTCTGTGCGTCATCATAACTATGGCAGAGTTTGGGAATATTTCAGATGGTCTCCACTGAGCAGAATTGCCGGGACTGTCAAGGACACTCAAGACCCTAGTGATTACCCCTGACTTGTCGTTGTGACCCATCATAGAACTGTGGGTAATCCGAGTTACAGGTACAAGCTAAATGATATAGTAGTTTCCTTTTTGCTCGACGTTATACAGAATTCTAGACATCCCTCATATGCCCTTCTTAAAGGGCCCTGTATACCCTCAACGTAAATCCATATAGCCCTCATATAGCACTATATACCCTGAACCCGCAGATTGATGCATACCTCATACAGCCCCTCCACGGGGCCCTATATGCCCTAAACCCTCAACCCTGGCCATAACCCCCAACCCCTAAACCCCTAAACCGTGAACCCACCTCCGCATCAATGCGGTTGAACTCATCGAAGCAGGCCCAACCACCAGATGCTGCGAGTCCTGGCACTATGTGCACTACAACATGGAGGTTGAGGAAGGTTTAGGGTTTAATTGGGGTTTATGGTTTAGGGTATGGGGTCTACAGGGTCTAGGGTACAGGGCTTAGGGTGTGAGTCATGAGACCAGTATTTGGAGGTCTTCTTGGGGCTCCTTGGGTTTTAGGGGGATAGAACCCCAATAATGGAGAATCAAATGGAACGGAACATCGAAAATGAAATGGACACTGTGCTTTTTCTGGGGGTTTGTGTATATATATATATGTATACATATGGTGTCTATATGGGACTTGGGCTAAATTGCTGTTCCCAAACTGGGGAACATGTATACAGGGACCGGATTGTGATTGGAAGCCCACTTTTGGGGCCCGCGTTATCTTGATTTTTTGGGAAATCCCCGCCTAAGTGTGAGAGTAGAGTTTAGGGCTGAGGATGTAAGCCGGCTTCCAGGGATCTTACAGGACATATCGTGATAAGAGGGTGTGTAGAAGGACATGCAGTTTTTAGGGTTTAGGGGTTAGGGCTCATTGAGAAACAAGCACATAAGACAATTAGATTAACAACTGAATTTGGATTTCAGGAGTAAGTATGGCAATTGCATGTAGGGGCCCGAAACCTATCATCATGCAGAACCAGATCGAAAATTCCACATAGAGGCATTGTAAGGAGCAGTAAGGTAATCTCTCTTTACTTGCCCTTTCTGGTCGTGGACAGCCATATGAAGCAACAACAAGCTCTTGTTTGCAATTGGCATGATCTACTCGACTCAAAACAGGTCATGTCACAGGAGTTGGAGCCCTGTGGTCCAAAACCAGAGAATGCCCTCGCAGTAGAGCACGGGCCTACATGAACTTCTATATCAATATTTATTTGATATACTTTTTACCATAACTGCTGCAGGAACCTGGGACTATAATGCTGGTAGTTGGTTGTAAGCCCCTATAGTAGGCCCCGCGGACTGCCTTTGAAGAATTTCGCCATGGCCAAGTAATCCAGCTCATCAGAGCAGTTGAAGACCACGCAGAAGCGGGCCAGCGCCTGAGAGTTTGGGTCAAGACTAGTTACTGGTGGTTAGTAGCGAATAAGGGAATATCATATAGTCCTTATTGATTACGATCCCTATATCATGCCTAAGATATTTCCCGTATAACCCCTCTATATAACTCAAATTCCTTCTTCCCTACTAACCCCTAGTAGGATTAGTCACAGTTACTGCCTTCAGCGTTCTCAAGGCTTCATCCAGGTCACAGCGCCAGCAATGTGCGGTACCAAAGCTTGCAGATACCAGACTCTAAGCCCTCCTTTACTCAAGAGTGCAGACTTCCAGGGATTAAGATAACTAACTAATTATGCCTGTGGAAATTCTTATTACTATTATGATTCATATGAGTATTCCTGTTGTTATAATTACTACTATTCTTCTTATTGTTCCCAAGAGGAGGAGTCTGGCCTTCGCCAGGTCCTTCACAGTCTCAGTCTTGCCGGTACCCGCTGGGCCCTGCACAATGGACATCATCAATCTCTCAAAAAGCATCCAGGTAGGCTCATAGTATACTTCAGGCTCAAAGTGGTCCCCCACTTAGTGTAGGGACCTGGGCCTATACTATATAGCTACCTGGAATCTTTGGGCCAAAACCCCACACTTGAAAAGCCCCCCTATGCACGCCGCCCGGCGATTGATTTTAGAACTGGACTTAATAGGAAACTGACTTTAGTAAGTCCCCCTAAACCCCAACCGCAAAGAAGTTGTCAGGGGTCCCCTGCTGTCAAGCGCTCAGCGCAGGAAATTCTGAGTGACCCCTGAATCATAGGGTTGAAAGGGCCCCTCGTAAGGAGACCCCAACCCAAACCTCTCATTAGCAAATAGGGACTCAGGGAGCCTGAAAGGATGATCGGGAGCTATCAGGGCCCTTTAGGGCCCATTAAGGATTTTGGTTTGGGTGGCTCCTTTGAGAGGGGGCCCATATCCAACCCTTCGACTGTACGTGTTTGGGTTCTCCCCAGCGCCTCAGGCGCAGCACCATAAAGCAAGTGGAGCGCCCCGCAACCTTGCAGCATGGATATAGGGGTGACCATAACCCGCCATAAACAGGGGCCACCACAATGTGGTATAATTTGCTCCCCAAAAGCAAAAGAGACCCTCAAGTTCTCGGAACGCGGGTTGTTACAGTTTCAGCCATGGACCAGCGTGGGCGGGGGTTGTGCTTGCTGTTTGGAGGCCTCGGTGACAGTCAAGCGGTGAGTGTGCCTGAAGGTTCGAGTTGCAAGTTCTGTTTCAAAGATTGTTTGGTGCTAACCTTCAAACTGACGGAACAAGGTACCCTTAGCACTAGACAGACACACTTTGTGGCTCGGAAGGTCTTAGGGCCTTGTGCCCCAAAAGGAGTCCTCATGGCCTGTGCCAGCTCCTATTTTGGCGGTGCAGAAACCAAGTTTCCTGCTCTCCCTAGGCCCACTGGTTGAGGCCTTGTGCAAGACCCAGAGGGTTCAAAGTACCTACATTGTAGAACGTATGGTCACCGTATTAGGAATTCCCCGTATGCTTTGGGCATTATAGGTTACCTACTGGGTCCCTAGGACTTTTGGGAAAGTTAAGGTCCTTGTCTTGCTCGCCATTTACATATACGATGCTGAACATGACAAACCCCCACTCAGAGTGAAGTACGAGAATCTGGAGCATCCCTGCTGTCCGGGGATCTCATGAACCTTTTGAGTTTTGTTTTGTACACCACCCAGGCTTTGCTTCGCTCATCGTAAGGAGAAGGGGGCATGTTGGCTGCCCTCTGCTAGAAATCTACTACAAAAGACCAAAAGTTTCGCCTTGCAGAATGAAAAAGGCTTCAGTACATCAGACGTGTGCTCAGTCCTCGAAGCCCTGCAACAAGTCAAGAAGTCGATCGCGACAGCAGCTTGGCAGCGCATCTCCTCCCTTCCAGTCTCGAAGATCTACGAAGTGATCCAGCTGCCATGCATGCTTCATTCGGGCAGATTCACGCTTTGGGAGGGCCCAGGGAGGATACAGCTGAAGCGACACAGGCTTCTGATCCACGAGCGCGTGCCGCTCCAAAACCTTGGTGGGAAACATGAACAGCCCAGCCACCTTCAGCTCATCCAAAACAGTGCTAACAAGCGCGTCGAAGTCGGCACTTCTGTACGCGAGCTTCCCAAGTCTCCCTCCATGCCTTGACAAGTCAACACAGTATATGCCACGCTTGTTCCGATTCCTAGCTTTCTCTTGGACCCGCAACTCCAAGCTTGCGCCTCTGAGCACAGAGTCGATGCTCATGGAGCCTGCCAAGGACTTTGCAGCTGGAAGCCTGCTCCACTGAATGGTGTTGCGAACTGCAAATGCGAGATTTCCTCTACTTGGTTGGTCCTGCTGCTCAGCATGAGCGCATCTTGAACCGACACATGTAGGAATTCGCCGGCACTGTGAAAACATCTCTCCAGAACAGAGCCAAGGTCATGCACACGCCAGAGAACGTCTCTGACAGAACCGATGGCGATTTGAAGGGATTTTGCTGCAGCATCCGTCCAGGTACGGCCGAAAGCAAGTCGGCATCAAGAGCAACAAGTACCAGAAGCATCCCTCCGTATCCGCCAAGTTGGTGGCAAAAAGTAAGAACTCTCTCCCCTCCTGCGTGCGGATTTAGCTTGTATCGGTGTTCCGCCTATAGCTGTGTAGCCACAGTCTGAAAGATCGCGTCACCCGGCGATGCGTTGGAGATGACAAAGATCTGTCTTGCTTGCTTGGACCTAGCAAGACTTTCTGTACCAATTGAAGGGACGTATCAGACTTCTCCATGTTCCTTGCACTCCTGGCCAAGCCAGATTTAAATCTGGCTTCCATCACCGTTTCCCGGAAAGATGACTCAGAAGCGGTTGGAAAGTTCAGGGACTTCTTTACTCGAGCAGGGTTTGAGCAGAGTGCCCGCAGCTTTTTTTTTAAAGCCCTTGCAGCCTCTTCCTACGAACCATACAAGCCGACCTAGCACATTCGTCCAACAGAATTGGCGCTAGCCGCTAGCCATTTATTGCTGTCCGACTGCCAGCAAACACCATTCGTCAATAAAAGGTAAGCTGTTCAGAAGGCAGAGGGCCAGCAGCTTGTTTGCGGTGCAAACTGAGGAAACATAAGCGCTATGGCGGGTGGGCTCTCCAACGCTAAATTGCTGATGATTGCGGTGCCTATAACCAGCCTACATCGAAGAAGACTGAATTGAAAGTAACGCCCAAGAAAGAGCAGCAACAAGCACAAATTGTCACAGTAATGGATACCTCTGGCGAAGAGGCCCTACTTGAACAACTCCCACTGCATCACCGCAAGAAGCTGCTGTCTGTGGAGAACTGAAGAAAGGGGAGGAGTATATCACCTTGTGAGCGACGATCTTACATGCAGGCATGGAACCAGCAGCAACTGCAGAAGCCGGCCCGCAAGGTCTCCCGAGAGTGGGCCACCAGCCAAATCTCTCAAATCAACGAAATGGTCCAGCTGCCATGCGTGCTTCTGTGTTGTAACTTCGCGCTTTGCAGGCATCCAAGGGGGGTACAAGCGCAGCGTCAAGGGCCGCTCATCAACAAGACCACGCTGAGCCAAGGTCTTCGTTGGTATCAGGTAGAGCCCCTCCAACCGATATTCACCATCCAAAAGAGAAATGATAAGCAGGTCAAAATCAGCTGAGGTGTATGGCCGCTTTCCCGCTGTGCCGCCCCACCTGCTGAGATTTACCATGTACTGGCCTTTTGGGCGTGTTCGCCGCGTCGCTTTCTCTTGCACGTCATATGCGCAGCCGTACCCGCATAGCTTTGAATCAACAACACTGACATGCGCGCATGGCTGCAATCGGAAGCCTACCTGACTCAATACAGCCTGCTTCTGCATGCGAGCGTGCTCTTCCACAAGATGTTCTGCACCGCACTGAAGCCTCGCATCTTCTAGCGTTAGGTGAAGATACTCGCTGTTCCGGTAAAAGCATTGTTGTAAGAGCGACGCAAGACTGTTGACTCGAAATGAGTACTCCTTTGAGGTGTTCAGTGTCAACCCGAGGCTGTCCTGATGCACCTGACTTCCAGCCAGGGCCCAAATTATGTCACGGTCCAAGGCAACCAAGAGCAAAAGCATTCCGGAATATCCGCATAGGTTCTTGAATTGGTAATGCTGGCCTTTTTCGCCGCAACCCTTTCTTGATTTCAGCTGAATCGGCAAGCCCTTCGGTGAGCCCTTTTTCAGGAGCATCACATCTACTCTGGAGGAGGAGGATACTGGCACAATCTCAAAGTTTGATGATGTTGAAGATGACTTGAACCGTGCCATGATCTGGCTCAAGGCCTTTGTCTCCTTCGCTGCATTACCACCGAATATTCGCAAATGGCGCGCACGCCTCTCTTTAGGGCTTTCTACGAAAGCAGATTCTTTCGCAGACGGGAAATTGAGTGACTGCTTCAAACGATGTCCATCTTTGCATAGCTCACGCAGCTTGGCGTCATATGCAAGACCAGCCTGCTGCTCACACACAAAGCGTCCACAATAATGTACCACACCAGCAAAGGACAGCTGTGCTTCGTATACCTGCGCAACAATGTTCCAGTGCACACCGTTAAACCTGCTGGTTGCAAAGCCATGGCGTGAATCCTTGCCCGTGCTGCGAAAGAATGGGTTCAGGCGGAGAGCTGCTGCGAGGGCCATCTTGCTTCCTCTTGTGCAACACAGAGTCGAACTGCGGCCCAAGCAAGTCCACAGAGAGGAAAGGAACAACACTCAACAAGAAAATTGTTGCAGTGACTGGTGACACAGCGGCATCTGCTTTCCTTGTTGGAGCCGTGGAACACCGTATCTTACTACTTCGACCCGAAATAGACGACAGCTTGAACGAATGAAGCTTCGTACGTTGCGCAAGTCTGCCCAGGCCTACAGAAGGTGCACACTAACCAGCACCTCCAAAGGTTCCCCGTCCTTTATTCAAAACTGGGCCTGCCTGAATGAGTAGAATTCAGGGGGAGCCTTAGTAGGGGTAGTATTGGGGAGTTGGTTAGGGAATCAATACTGGTAGCTGAGGCGTAGGCAGGTTCGGTAGCATCGATCCTAGCCACGTCAAACTGACTATGGATGTGGATGCTATCCAGCAGCTTATCCAGTACTAGCGGTATATAGCTCAAGGGATAGGCGCAAGGGATAGGCGCTGGGGATGACTTAGATCCCACAGTCGTTATGTGATGGCTCACCCAATCGGTACACAACAGGTTCCAAGAACATGCCCCACAAAATTTGACATCCATGGAGCATTGCCTCGTGCTGTTTTGTGGCAAAGCCAGAACAATCTGAACTGCTGCTACCTGGACCTTAAACCTCGAATCGTGTGCACAGGGGTGTCCCTCCTATCGCCCACACCCCCAAGCAGGCAGTCAGTCCGTCAGCGGCGTGACGATGAGCCGTGATGAGTTGCCCAAATACCTGGGTGCGAACAGGATTCAAGGGCATAAGCTTTTTTTGGACGTTCTCTCCCCGGCTCAAACGTGCTTGGAGATGCCTACGGCGCGACCCATGCGAGCATAGGGTTCGGGGTTTAAGGCTGAGCGTGGCTAAGGCCCTGTTGCAGGTTTATCGGCTCATTTCGGGTATACAAGTAGAATGACTAGCGAACCCTACTCAAAGTAAGGGGTCAATTGTGATACATCTTCTTGAACTGTACGTTGTGAACGAGGGGACTTTGGCTGTCTCAACCGTCAACCTATGACAGTCATGCAAGTCTTGCAGGGTCCTTATTCGGGATCCGCCGAAGACCTATGTAGCAGCAGCCGAAGTACTCGTAGGCGTAGCCCAGATGGCTGTTCGTGATGCGCACGAACCTGCAATTTGAGGACATCACCGTTGACATTTCCTGGGGCTCCAAGTCTATCAAAAATACCTAGGTAGCGCCCGCAAGACACTAAACAGCACCTACTTTGGACTTCTTGGACCATCAGGCAGTCTGCTTCTGCATTTAAGGCACAGGCCTCATGTGTTGAAGGCACTTTTGTCTTTGCTGGGTTTGGAAGTCGTTGTGTCTGACTTTAGGTCCAAGCAGCCTCAGGCTTCTAGCCACAGGGTTGAACATGTGGATTTCTCGCAACCCATGAAATTCGGGTCATGCTAGGTACTCTTAAGATAAAACTTTGGCGAAAATACAGCATGGGGGAGGTTCTGTAGATAAGGGGGCCCCACAAAGAGATGCAGAAAAGGGGGCCCCCAGTTTTTGGGGCTCCACCAAATGTGAGCAGCCTGAATTAGTCCCCCTCAAGTAGAATCCACCAACACCATAACAAGATGCCGAAGAGCCCATATTCTGTCTACTTAAAAACACTATAGTTCAAGGAGTACTGAGCCGGCGGCAAATCCTTCTGCTCTGGCTTCTCTGGGTTGTCCTGGTGCGCTGCAGGACAGCATCTGCGGGCAGGGGCACAGTACTGTTGATACTTCTATTGTCATTATCATTGCTGTTATTCTTATTGGTGCTAGCACTAATATTGCTACTTCAATGAGTATGGGCGCTACTACGTCACACCATTGTTTTTGGGGAAGGTGTCTCAAAAGTCGTGCTCTAGGGTGTCTCTATCATCGGGACCGTGGTCTGTTTGGGCGGAGAAAGGGGGGGGTGGAAGTCGTACAAATACCGAATGTGGGCTCTACTTGCTTTGTGGGATCTACTTGCTGGCAGTCTGGGCATAACGTCTGTGGCACGGTAGATGAAGCGCCTTCCCAATCCCCGCCCAGAACTCAAACCACCTCCCACTTCGAGTCAGTGTCAACACGCTAGTGCCAGCTATGATATAACAAGCATGAGGGGGCAATAGGCTGTAGTAACTTGAGGGTGGCCGTACCTGAATCCTAAAGCCTCAAAACTCCAGAATGGCATGGACGAGACCAGCTCCTCGATGTAGTATCGGAGCTGCACTAGCCAGTCGAAATCATCCACCTGCTCACTTCCCCAGATTCCCCAAATGGCGCTTGCAGGTCTATAGCACGCACTTACGGCTAAAAGTGCTCCCACAAAACTAATTTGGGACCTACGCATCTACAATTTACCTACATGGATCCTGGAGGTTCATCAGCCATGGTGCATGGCGTGTAATGCTTCGGAATGACACAGTCCCATTCGGGGGAGTTCAAAAGCTGGAGCTTTCCCATCTGCAGTCCAAGAGCCCTAGTCGGCACAGACTAAGTACTTCTCCAACCCTGGGACAGTCGCCTCCATGAACCGGAGAGGAAAACTGCAGGCTTAAATAGCTAACAGACTCATGTGAGGCCTATTTGCCCTTTTGAGGTACCCTCTACCCAAGTTGTACAAGGAGGAACCAGACTATTGATATTATGTGGGCCTGTACTGTAAGTAAGAATGATGCTGAGCCTGGTGTTGTCACCCTGATTTCTATCATTGCCTTGTCTAGCCTTGTCTACATGGGGAT